TTTTTTTTTTTTTTTTTTTTTTTTTTTTTTTTTTTTTTTTTTTTTTTTTTTTTTTTTTTTTTTTTTTTTAATAACAATAGCTGAATAACAACGGAAAAAAGAAAAACATCCTTGCGGCAAATTGGAACTGGTTTGTGTTGGGCTGTTCTGTTTCGGACTTGAATCAGTCATCCAGTTTTCTTTTAATTCCTAGCTTGATTGACCGAACAACTTCAGTTCTATGTATATCTGTATAATTTTAGATTATTGTTGGGAGAAGACATTGCTTTGAGTTTATGGAAATAAGGGTATGAATAGACATATTTTTTTATTGGAATACAAATCAGTCACTGTGAGAAGTTCGAACGTGATTAAAATATGAGTTCGAACATATAATCTTTGTGTTCTATGAATGTGGATGATTTTTCTTCCATAATGTAAAATTCAACCACTTAATTTAAAATATAATCAAGCCAAAGCAATGAAGGACTAAATTTAAAATATATATACACACAGACTAGTGGAGAATGTGTTCTAGCTCTGCATAAATTGGCTCTTTCATCTCCCTTATTTTTACAAACTAATTAAAAGCTAGTAGCTCGTTCTTGTATCGAGTACCCATTGCTATACAACTAGGAAATTGTTAGTCTTTGTTAGCCTGTATTTGTATTTTGTATGGCTTGATTTTTAATCTACAAATAATGAATATTGTGGTTGCAATGCTGAGATAAAATAATCCGAAGTTTGATTTTAGGTCCTTTCGTGTTCATGATAATGGAATTAGTTGCCTATGATTTATGCAAAGTTCACTTGGCTGCAAATGTTGCTTGTGTAATTGCTCTTTAATGGGTCAGAGTTGTGAAATAATCTAGAATTATTATTCTCTCGTTTTTTTGTATAGAATTTTATAAGTTTAGAGGTCAAACCTTGATAATGGCCATTGTTGTGGATAGGTTTTAAATGGGTGTATCAGATAAAGATGCTAGGTTCTTAAATGAGGATACAATGGAAGATGATGATCTTGGTAACGAGGATTCGGATTTTGGATCTGAATCTGAATCTGAATCCGAATCTGAATCTGAATCTGGGGAGGAAGAGGAGGAGGTAAAATTGTCTGAACCATCAAAGACGGCAATATATAATGCTGATGGTCTCCTTGATAAGCTTGAAGATATTAGCTGGCCGAAAAATGTGGAATGGATACACAGGCTATGTCTTGATATTGATCAAGAAAAAGAGGTGGATGTGAATGATGATCTAGCTAGAGAACTTGCATTCTATACACAGGCTTTGCAGGGGACGAGAATGGCCCTCGAGAAGTTCCAATCTTTAGGACTCCCTTTTCTCAGGCCTTCAGACTATTATGCAGAGATGGTGAAGACAGATACTCACATGGGAAAAGTGAAAGGTCGGTTGCTGGCCGAGCAGAGGAAGATGGAGGAAGCTGAGGAAAGAAGGAAGGCTAGAGAAGCAAAGAAGTTAGCTAAAGAGATTCAAGCTCAGAAGCTAAAGGAGAGGGCTAAGCAGAAGAAAGAGGAGATTGAATCGGTTAAGAAATGGAGGAAGCAGAGGCAAAAGAGTGGTTTTGCTGGAGGTGATAAAGGTGGTGATATGGAGTTGTCCTTTGAAGATGGAAAGGCGTTCGAGAGATCTGGTGGCAAGAAGAGGCCCGGGGTGTCTCCTGGCGATCGCTCGGGAGGGAAGGCGAGACACAGAGATGGAGGAAAAGGGAAAAATCTGAAGAAAAAGAAAGATTTCAGAGATTCCAAGTTCGGATTTGGCGGGAGAAAAAGTTTGAAAAAACAGAACACGGCCGAGACAACAAATGACATTAGGGGATTCAACAGCGACAGTTTGTTAAGCAACAAAAGAAGGAAGAGGTCATAGATTAGTGCAGTAATTTGGTTTCAAGTTCATTGAAATTTAGCTTTTGGAAATTTTGATTATGTAATCATGGGAGCTTTCTGTTTCCTTTTGGAGAAATAGTAATTTTTGTAGTTATTGTTATATTACTGTGGTGTCCCACGTTCGTTGGTTGGGGAGGAAAACAAACTACCTTGAAACCTTTCCCTAGCAGACGTGTTTTAAAGCCTTGAGAGGAAGCCCGAAAGGGAAAGCCCAAAGAGGACATTACGATTATGGTTTTGAATATATAATCTTGATGGATTGATGATATATGTTAAGGAAGGATATATTAATACTTCGTATATGTAGTGTTGAGATGTGTATGAAATGTTTCTCCGTGCTATAATTTGAAAGTTAGGTTACGAATGAAATGATTTATGAAAGGTTATGTATGCATATTACTAAGTGTAGTATGTGAGATAAAGAACGGAGGTGGTGAGGTTGTCTTGCATGACTTATTACAATGAAAAATGTGGAGACCTTGTGCATAATTGTATGTTCACGTGGATTGAGATACTTTCTCTTTATGATGAGTACGGATGTATATACTATTTTAACAAGAGGATTACTTCTTCCAATTCGTTCGTAACGTTAAGAAGAGGACCGACAAAATTCTCCTTCAAAACTAATAATCACATCTATACTTGAAAAATTGTTGACAAGTAAGAAACTTGGAGCCTTAACTATGGTAAGATCTTTAGAACATTACAACATGGTTAAAAAGTTCATCACTAACTTACATGTCGTACTAACGTGGATGGACCACACCATGCAAATCAAAGAGAGTTTAAACCTCATTCAAACACCTCACTTGATTATACACACCTCATTCAAACTATAACGCACACATTGTTCAAAATTTCATGATGTTATCTAGTAAACTTTCAGTTTGGTAAACTCAAATCATCATTTTCATGTACTTACCGACTGCTTTAATTTCATATCTACATACTCTATAGTAATGTCCTTTGACACTACCATTTTCAGTATCCATAGCAACCTATAAGATAATATCATCTACCGTACTTTCCTAGTATATATTCGTTGGACAACTTACTAGTATTTGTTTGTACATTCTTTTCCATCTTTATGGTCATAATACTATGTCATTTAACTATGTTTCAAGACATCCGACTGAAACATCTAATATTTTTTTCATGTGTATACTGGTGTTAAGTAGCCTTTGAATCGCAGATAAAATTATGTTAAGCCTAAACATGCTCCAAATCATGAATACATCAGGTAGCATTCATATTTCATGCCTAATAAATTATAACATAACATAGCAACATCATATATTATATTTCATAGGACATACCGGATGGTGACGCGACATTTGCGGTAAGGCCATGGAATACTCTAAGCCTACCTTTTTCTAACAATAAAATGGCTGATACATGCATGTTTGGCTACTTAATTAACAAAGTTTAGAAATAAATATGTTATCGCCCTAATTAGTGACTTGTGTATAAATGGCTTCCTTGCTACAAATCAAAATTCAGTTGATCTTCGTCACTGTGAAACCAAATTGTAAGCCAAGAATTCTCTCTTTCTCGTTTATCTGATTTCATGATTGTTTCTCGTTTCTTGATCGGCCTTAGAATTTGAACTCTGCCTTGATTTTTCCTTTATTTCTCTCTTATTTGTTATTGTCGTGATCGATTACAAGTTATTGACGCTGTCCGTCTCTATAGGCTTCTATTAATCTTCAGGCTCCATTTCTGATGGATTTTTGTAGTTCCGTTGCTGCGTCGTTTAGATCTCTGGATTTTCTTCTCGACTACTCGTTTGTTTCGGACATTTTTCTCAATTGCATCTTTCAATGATCTGAAATGAAACATTATGACAGTCCCTTCAAATATTTCTATATTTTTACGTCGAAGTTAATGACGGCGAAGAATCCGCTTGTGTTTAATTGTTTGTTGTGTTTCGTATTTGCTAATGGCAGTTTAAAGCTTTCGATTATTTATTAGCCTTTTACAGAATATAAATGGTGGAGTATATACAACAATCCTCCAAAATACTGGAGTTTCTGCCAACTGCCTAAATCAACAATTTGCAATCAAGTTTTTTGTAAAACGTATCTTTAAAACATTAATCGACTTTCAGATATTTAGTTTTTTGTTTCCTGTGACAATGAGCTCCCCCGTTCCCTGCTTACACAACTGGCTAGTAGTAACTATTTGTATTCTATGATTTTCTAAAACTCATCTTACTTGTATAGGATCTCTTGTTGAGGATATAAGTGAAAAGGGAGAAATAATTGCGAGCAGAGAAAATGTCCTTCGGCAATGGAGTGAAATCCTGTGCAAAGCTGGTGAAGTCTTCAGAACCATTGTTGTTGAAATCAGGTTTCGTTACCTTGTTAGCCATGATGCAGATTTACTTTAACTTATGTTTTACAATTCCTGCATATGCTTGTTAGTTGCAACCATCTTTCTCAAATTCATAAGAGTGTAGTTATAGCATACTCTGACATGATTGCAAATAAGGAAACAAGCAAACCATTAATTAAAAATAAGTGATGTGAAAGAAATTGCACAACAATGACAGTAATAAAAAAGAATTATTGAAGCACTGAACATCGCCGGAGTTCTATGCATGGGAGAAGATTAAAGCATCGAACACCATGGAGTTCAAAGAAAATAAATCTGAAAAAGATAACAAGTTCCTAGGAACAAGTATTTATGGATAGCTCTGCTAAAATGGCTAAGTAAGACCTTCAGCAGGTTGTGATATAGGCTTTTTTTGCCTATTATTACTTGGGCCTTCCTCTTGGTAACGTTCCTATAAGTTTTTTGTTTTTGAGATCTAGTTGTGGAAAAGGTCAAAAAATGCTTCTCCTCATGGAAGTGGAGTTTTTTTTTCCTTCTTTCTAACGGAAGTAGACAAACTTTATCTGGTTTGTTTTTAGTGGAATCTCAACTTTCTTGCTCCATTTGTTTAGGGTTCTCGTTTTGTTCAACAAGAGATTAGAAAAGCTTATAAGTGACTTCTTACGAGAAGGGGTTGATGAGGTTCGAACATTGATTTAGTCAAGTGGGAGGTTGTGGCCAAGCTGTTCGATCTTGGGCATTTAGATATTGGTAATTTGAGGGATCAAAACGAAGTCTTGTTGGTTAAATGGTTGTGGTGCTTTCCTTGGGGGACTGCACCTTGTGGCCTATGACTATTGTGATACTGTATACGAAGTCTTGTTGATGTTTACTTCCCCTGAAAATCATGGATAGAACAAATTTCTAATTTTCTAGTCAATGAAGGATACTGTATTCTTTCATATTGGTATATTTTTTTAAAATGTATATTTTAGTAAACGTGTCCTTGCTGCATCTCTGTCCTAGTATTTTAGAAGGCGATGATTCATCGACAATAGTCTGTTCAGCTCTACTAATTCATAGGGTTCATATATATATATATATATATGAATCGAGGTTTTTAAATCCTAAAAATGATGGTTTTGTGGCACAGCTAATCGAGGGCTTCACTCAACTGGTGTGAAGAGAATGGGAGGACATGCACATGGACACGATGAACCCTACTATTTGCACGCAAAGCACATGTACAACTTGGATAGGATGAAAAATCAGAAGTTGAGCATGAGGCTTGGAGTTTTCACTGCATTCAGCATAGGTGTGGGCGTTCCAATCTATGCAGTGATGTTTCAGCAAAAGAAGACGGCCTCTGGATGATATTCTTCACTCAAACAATGTGTGCAATCCAATAAGAAACGTCGGTTGCACCTCAGTCAGTCCTCTCCTCTCCTTGGTTTTATTAACTCTGTATAAACCCTCATTTCAAATGCTGCATACAAACTCAGAAAGTCGATTCTGTTTTTCCCAATAAGTGTTTTCATCAGAATTCCCCATTATATTCCACATTTTGATCCAATCTGTTTTACTACCCAAAGATTTTTATTGTTTGGGTTCATTCATTCATTCCTTCCCTGCATTTTTATTTAGTTTTCCCCTAACCATTTTCTTTATATCCGTGTTGTATGGTTGGAGGAAATGATAACCTTGTAGATTTTCTAAGCTAATTTATCTCTCCCATTTGTTTTACAAATGTTTCATTTATTTCAACTTATATATTTTAAGATATTATCACCCTTTAGAGGAAGTAGAGGTATTGTTGTTTGATAAGAAAGAAAAATAAAAAAATGGGAACGGTGATTGGATTGATGATAAAATAGAATATTGGATCTCGAACAGTAATTCGATTGATATAAAAAAAAGAGAATTCTTGGTTCAATTGATCAAATTCTATTGAGTCCGATTGATGATAAAAAAAAGAGAATTCTTGGTTCAGTTCTCCACTTAACGACAGAAAAAAGGAGGTTCAGTTCTCCACTTAACAACAGAAAAAAGGATTGATCAAATTCTATTGAATCTGACTTACAGTGATCATTTATCAACGAATGATTCTGGTACTTACCGTGATCATTTATCAAAGAATGATTTTGGTTATCAAATGATTGAACAACCAGGTAAATTACCAGGAATAATTTACTTTTAGGAGAAAGACGGACATTCCTTGCTCATTATCAGACAATCACTTATTCACAAACCTCGTTCCTTGCTCATTATCAGACAATCACTTATTCACAAACCTCGTGTGGGGCTAATAGTTTGAATTTTCCATCTCATGGAAAACCCTTTTCGCTCGGATTGAACTTGTTCATAGTTTGAATTTCCCATCTTATGGAAAACCCTTTTCGCTCGGATTGAACTTGTTCATGTTGTGAGAGCGATCTTGAAGATAGGTGACTCAAAAGTTAGTGTCTATACCAATACCACAACAAGGTACACCTCCTTTTTCGATGCATAACCATTATATATTGAGTTACTTTTTGAGAATTTTTCTAAGAAGCATGTGAGTGAATACAACAAAACATGTAAAAAGGATCAGTAAGAAGGATCAGGGCTAGAAACGAAACTAAGCAGAAACTAAGCAGAGCATTACATAAAAAAAATAAAACATGTAGAAAGAATCCGTGCTAGAACCGAAAGTAAGGATTAAAATTTTATTTTTTTGATTAATCAATAATCTAATTTTATCTTCCCATACACACGGCATTGAGACATGATTCACCATCGTTCCTTATTTTAAAATTTAAAATTTAAAATTTATGTGAAATATTTTAAAAAAAATTAAATTAATTGATAATTTAATTTTAGAATTGAACTAAATTTAAATTCTTTTTTATATTAAAAAATATGGAAAGATGGAGAATTCAAATAACATATTTTAATAAATATTATTTGAATGCTGAATTTTGTAGAAAAAAGAACGCGTGTTGGCACCTAATTACCATTTGGCTCAACACGATGAGTAGGGTTTTATTCTACAAATTGAAACACAGCAAAGCCGGAGCAACAGATTTTCTCCCGCCACGACCGCCCTCCTTCCGCAACAATCTTCTTCTTCTTCTTCTTCTTCATTCCGGTTAGGCTTCTCATTTATGCTTTCAACTCTTCTGCTTAATTGTGTTATTCAGCCTTTACCTCCATCTGAATTGAGGCTTTCATAGTTTCTTTTGGTTGGTTTGATTTCAGAAACCGTCGATGTTCAATTGCAAAAACATATTTGCACGTACTCAAACTATTAGGAACTGGTCTAGATGCAATTTCAATTCTGCTTCTTCTTCTTCTTCTTCTTCTTCTTTCAAATTCGAAACCGGAAATTATTATTCTGTTCTTCAGTCCTCTAGTTTTCAGCATTGGTTCAAAAATTGGAAAGAATTTCGAAAGCATAAGTTAACAGCAAGTACTTTTGCTGGGGCTATTGGGTTTTGGCCTCGTCGAAGGGCACAGTTGTGGTTAGAGAAACTTGGGGCAATTGACCAGTTTTCTGGTAATCTTGCAACTTGTTGGAGTAACATGAAAGAAGAAGAGGCTCTTGAGCGATATAAGCTGATTACAGGGAACTCTGTTTTGTTTCCTGAGTTTCAAGTCTATGAGAAAGGAAACTCTGAATATGATTGGTTAGCTGCTTCACCTGATGGTGCAATTGACAAGATGGTCTATGGATTGCCCTCACGAGGTGTGTTGGAGATTAAGTGCCCATTTTTTGATGGTGATATGGCAAAGGCTTCACCATGGTCTCGAGTTCCTCTTTACTGTATTCCTCAGGCTCAAGGTTTGATGGAAATAATGGATAGAGATTGGATGGATTTTTATGTTTGGACTCCTAAAGGTAGTAGTTTGTTTAGATTGTACCGAGATGCCGAATATTGGGAGGTTTTGAAAATTGCTTTGTCCGATTTTTGGTGGAAGCATGTTCAACCAGCAAGGGAGATGTGTAGTAAATATTCCATTACAAATCCCCTCATTGAGCTGAAGTCTCTTAGGCCATCACCCAAGCATGAGTTGTGCAGTTATATAGTTTGTGAAAGCAAACGGGTTGTTGATAATTCTGAGTTGCTCTTGCGTGAATTTAATGGAAGACTTCAAACCTGATGATTTCCAAATATTTAGTTCAATGGCTGAAATTGTATTTAGGAATCTGGTGTTTAGAGTTTTAGAGCCTGAAGGAGTTCTTGTTAACATCAAAAGCCGGGGACCAAATGGAAACATTGGCAAAGCAAGCACAGTTTGGCTTTGACTCGACATCCTACTTTGCTTTCTTGTCGAGAGGGTTCCTGTCACAACCTAATGTTGGCCCCTGGCCACCACACTAGGAAAGTTAACGATTTGCAAGTATTGCCTAGACCTGCACCGAACATGCCGTGGCACATGTCACACTTCCAATTCTCTCTTCATTGGAACGCAAGGACATGGTACAGCGGTTAGCTTCACTGTACAGCATGAAGCCCAAAGGGCCAGGAGAAGTAAGCTTGATGGCTTTCTGTTTGAAGTCTACTGATTTAAAAATTCTCAAGGTTACTTTTTTCCTGTTCTGTTAAAAATTCTCTGTGGCAATAGAGTGGAGACGATCTCCATGTTTGGTAATGGGTTTTCTGAAAGTTGCCCTGTTGGAGCTTGGATGAGGTATCAGTTTCAAGTAAGATTTTGTTTCATTTTGTGCCCAGATTGTATTTCATTTATTTATTTATTTATTTTAAATGTTCTATAAGATCATTTGTTCACGTAAGCTTAAACGTTCACTATTTCATTCAACTGCAAGTTCTGTTACTAAGTCTGAGTATGGAGTTTGTTCTGCACCCGTATTTCCCAATGGTGGATTTTTATCTTCTATGATCTTTTATGGTAATTGAGCATAATTCTTCTTCAGTTGATCAAAAGAGAGTTAGGTTTGAAACTCTTTTGTGTCTGAACAGGCCTCACTCTTTGTCATCAATTGGATTGCTTGAAGAGTATTGTCCAACGTTATACTGATCTTGGTTTTCAGTTTATGCGGCCTTTTTCAGCTGCTCAAATAAGAATAGTTCCTCTTGAAGTTTTACGGATCTGCATGTCAACGACATTGTTTTTGATGCAGTTGTTGTTCCAATAGAAAAGCAAGGATTCTTTGGATCAACACTATCAAGTCTACTATTTGGAGAGACTTTGGTATGAGAGGAACTCAAGGATCTTTGGTAGCTAAAGCTTGTAATACTCGTGGTAAGAAAGCTTCGTGTAGCTCCTTGGTCCCTAAGGTTCCTTATTCCAGTTGCAAAGCTAAAAAAGCCTTTCTCCTTGCTTCTTATCTTAGAAAACAATCATAAAAAACAGGCCCAAAAGGACCTAAAAGTGAAACAAGAATCTATGGTAAGATTATAAGATATGAGTGGAGTAGTGACTAAAAATGATTATTTTTATTTTTTTGGATCGTGAATTATGATTGATCTTCAGTTCATTGAAACTTCTTAAAAACTATTCCATTCAGGATACTTTTTTTTGGTGGACTACAATTTTGTATTGTTTATCTAATCATTATTGTTTGTGGGAGTTGTGGAGTTACCTTGTAGTGTAAATTCGTTTGAGAGATTGGTTTAGGGTTTAGTTTGTCTTTTGCTTTGATTATATTAGAGATGTTTCGTACTTCGTTTCTTGGTCTAATGGTAGCAGTCTTGATCAAGTTATTGTCTTGTTTCTCGTTTTTTTCTCGTTTTGTTGGTTTGGTTCAGTTTATTTCCACCTCTTCCATCATCCAAACGCATAACAATTGTTGTATTATCGAATATTTAGACCACCGAACTCGTGAAATTTCTACCTTAGAGGTTGGAATACATAATGGCTTTGAAATCATTTTTTCTTCTAAAAAATGTAAATTATCTTTAGTGGCACGAAATTTGCCATTGACTCTAGATTGACGAACATGATAGGTGCCTTGGTTGTACTTCAACAACTTTCTACGACAGAAAAATAAGAACAAATTTTTTTTATATACCTAGTCATAAATCATAAAGTATTTCTTTCTACTTTATTTTTGCATTATTATTTTCTGTATGAAGTTAAGGTCCACAAATTTTATAGAGATCAAAAGCTTTAATACTATATGATATCGGAGACAACAAAAGAATCGGACAAGAAATCCCTGGTAAATTATCATTAACTCACAGGACTATGTTAGATATGGATTACCTTTAGGTCAATCATGTAGAAATATAGAATAATTTCCACACTCCCACGTTGAATCCCTCCACAAGTTTGATTTCCCTTGTTAGAAAATGAGCCTAGAGTCACATTTTCTTAAACAAAATGGTACTCCATCTCAATATGTTTTGTGTGAGCATGGAACAATCTCAATATGTTTTGTGTGAGCATGGAACAATGGGTAACGCACATGTAGAAAGCACAGAAGTTGCCACACAAGATCTGGGGTTGTTATTGATGGCACTCGAAGGAGAATCTATTGTGCATATCGATAGAGAATCACGGCATCTACTAATGGAGTTGGGTATGAGTCAATAAACCTAGTAAAATAAGTTACTAAAGTGGAGTAACTTTTAAGAGAATTATTATTGTGGAACAAATTTATGAAAATGGTTAGTACT